ATAAGAGACAGGATGGACGGATGGATGGATGGATGGATGGATGGATGGATGGATGGATGGATGCATGGATGCATGGATGCATGGATGGATTTATGGATGAATGGGTGCATGGATGCATGGATACATGGATGGATTTATGGATGAATGGGTGCATGGATACATGGATGGATGCATGGATGGATGGTGAGATGGATGAATGGATGGAGGTGCGGATGGATGGACAGACGAGTGGGCAGATAGATACTGGGGTGGCTGGTTGGCTGGTGGATGTGGATGGGTTGGTAGAAGGGAAGATGGATGGACTAAGGGATGAGAAGGTGTATGGATGGTGAACCTAGGACCCTCCATTCAGACCAACTGTCCGGAGAGCAGCCTGTGACACAGCCAGGACCTCATCCCACACACAGCCCTGCAGAGAGGTCATCCCTCACCCGACCCACCGGGACCCTGTGCAGTGCCAGGCCTCAGCCCCGAAGAAGGGAGCAGCTTAGGGTGGGGAAGCGGCAGGAGACAGGACAGGGGGGATAACCCCAGAGAGATCGCAGCTTACCGAACTTAGCTGCTTTGGCAGCTGCTTTGGCAGCAGCGGCGGCTCCTGGAACTCCGACTCCTGGGGGAGAGGGGGAGCATGAGCGGCAGCGATGGGCCATGGTGGCCACACCAGCACCCCTCAGCTAGCACCGCTGGGGACAGCCCGAGCATCCCTTAGACACCATCTCACCTGGTATGCCTGCGACCCCACCGGGCACCAGACCGGGCACGCCAACACCAGGCACACCAACTCCAGGCACGCCGACACCGGGCACACCAACTCCGGGCACGCCGACACCGGGCACGCGCCCTGCTCCTGCAGAGGGGTTCAGGGATGTGGCCCAGCAGGCCGGCTCTGTAGGCAGGGTCCTGCTGACCTCCCCACCACCCACAGCACCAGGGGTGCCCATTTGCCAGCATCCCTCCTCCCTCCCTGGGGAAGGAGGATGGTGACTTACTTACCATATGCTGCAGCTTTTGCCGCAGCCTTTGCTGCAGCCGCCGCAGCTCCTGGGCCACCCACTGCAGGGACAGAAGGGAGAGAGTCAGGGGACCAGGGAGGACATCACCACCCATTGGCTCATGCCAGTCCATCTGCTCACCTCCGACACCGGGCACCACACCAGGAACCCCGGCCACACCAGGCACACCGGGCACACCAGGGACACCAGCAACACCAGGGACACCAGGAACACCAGGGACACCAGGAACACCAGGGACGCCAGGAACACCAGGGACACCAGGGACGCCAGGAACACCAGGAACACCACCAATGCCGGGAACACCGACACCAGCTCCTGCAGGCAAGAAGAGGGGAGAAGTTAGATCTCATTGCAGCAACAGTTGAAAGGTAGGATCTCGTCATAGGTCTGCTCCTGTTGTGCCACGGTGAGGAGAGCACCCCATTGCCTTGTCCCAGGAGAGATACACAGTGGTGCAAGGGACTGGTCCTATGTCTCCCAAGAGGCCCCTTGAGGATGGTGAATCTGCTGTTGTAAAAGAGAGGCTGGGAAGTCACCAGCACAGGGGACCATGATGATCCTCATCATCACAGAGGGCTCCAGATGGTCCTCATCACGGGGACAGCAAGCCTTGCAGCCAAACAGGCCATGGAGGAGAAGTAGCTGGTGGTTGCTAGTAGCTGCCTAGAAGGGCTGGGTTCTCTGGGCACTGGCCGGACTGGGAAGCAGCCCAGGGCAGTGACAGTCTTGACCTGCTGACACTCTTTAGTGCCACGTGGACAAGCATCAGGTCACTTCTGGAAGGGCTGAGTGCCAGAGTTGTCCTCGTGGCCCCCTGCTTGGCAGGTGCCTGGCACCCCAGCAGAGCACACACCCATTAACTTGTCACTGCCAAGCTTCTCCCTAAATCGCACCCTCCCCTGGGCACGTGGTGGGAGTTTTTACTACATGATGCAGATGAAAATGGAAAAAGTGTCCAGCAACAGTTTAGCCCTCAAAGGAAAGCTGCCATCGAGCGTGGCTGCTCCCAGGGGACTCCCAGCACTTTGCAGTGATAATGCAGAAGGTCCTGGGACCTGGCCATGTACCCTCTGACACTGTCTTTTGCAGCAGCACAGGGATCCCCCAGCCCTGCATGGAGTCTCGGGGTCACTTCTGCCTGCTCTCTGCTCCCAGGCTCCCAGCTTCCCTGCTGCGTGGCCATGTCCCTCAGCCCCTCTGGGCTCCTCTTCACTCGAGCTCCCTTGGGGTGGTTATGCCTGCTGGACACCTGGGTCCCGCTAGACCAAGTCAGATGTACTTGCTGGGTCCCACCAGGCTTTTGGAAGGCAGTGACCCTGGGCAGGGGCCCCTCTGCCAGGGATCTCTGCCCACCCAGGCAGCGAGGTTGAGCCTGCAGGCACCAGACTATTAATCAGGTCTGGTGTTAGAAAAAACAGATTTGATAGAAAACCCAAGAATTCAGATGAGGTCCAAAGACATCAGCTTGGTCTCATCTGTTCACCTCCATGAAGCCTGCAGAAACCCCAGAGGGAGAGAAGGTCCTGCCTTGGGGATGAAGCCAAGCCTGGACGCAGCAGCTAGAAGCCAGGCTGGGCACATCCCATCCCCGTAAGGAGCCATCGGGAGTGATCCCTGGGAGAGAATTGCCTGCCTGGGGGCACCCCAAGTGCCAGGGGTGGTGAGGGTCAGCAGGGCTCCCCAGGGAGCTGCTGGGGAGTTCCTCACACTGCACGGACGTACCATATTTAGCTGCCTTTGCTGCTGCCGCTGCTGCTGGCGCACCGACTCCTGGGGACAAGGGAGAGAGGGACCCTCAGCCAACAGCACTCGCACCCCTCACAGAGCTGAGCACTGGGGACAGGGCTCCTGGGAACAGTCACCTGCCACCCCGGGGACACCTCCAACACCGGGCACCAAACCGGGGACACCGCCAACGCCGGGCACGAGGCCTGGAACACCGCCAACCCCAGGCAGCACCCCTGGACCTGGAGGAAAGCAGAGCAGTCAGACCAAACACTCCATGTCACTGCAGGGGACATGGTCTCCCCTGGTGTCACCGGAGGCTCTGGGGCACCTGGCTTTGAGGTGGGCTCTCCACACCTCCCAAATCAGATGCTCAGGGCACCTGGGACACACTCAGGATTGGGATTCTCAGCTCCCTAACACCCAGCCCAGGGGTCTGGAGCCCACCCAGCCACCCAGGAGCTTGGGGACCCCCAAGGTCCCTCAGGGCTATGGTTGCAAATCCCATTTGCTCCCAGGGCTGACCTGTTTCCTCTGAAAGCTCCAATGAGCAGTTGTTTGCTACCTGCTCTTCTCCCACAAAACAGCCAACAAGGGGAGCAGCAAAGGTGAGATCTGCATCACCAAGCGCATCACCCGACTAATGAATGACGGCTCATTACAGACACCATCTCCTCAGCCACCCCACCGGAGCCCGGCCCAGCAAAACTATATCTCCTGTGGAGAAACCACGCATGATGGGGATGTACTGCCCTGTGTGGGGCTGCTGCACTGCGAGGTGGCCAGCCAGTCCCCCAGACACCACCAAAAAACCTCCGTCCTGCAAACCAGGCTTTGCTACACCCAAGCCCAGCTTCCCAGCAGGCTGCTGGAAGCTGCCCCTAAGGAGGTAAAGCCCCTCTGCACCCCTGGGGGCTGGGGGGTTCACACCTTGCAAAGCTGCTGACTCAGCAGAGCGGCTTCCCCTTGCCCTAAGCCCCAGCAGGCAGCCGCTGGAGCTGAGGCAGGGGCCTGGGGCTGGGAGAGCACCCCAGGAGATGGCGCAGGGGGCGGTGGGGCAGGCAGTGAAGCCTGGCACCAGTGCATGGCTATTCTGTGCCCCAAGAGTGAACCTGACCCCACAGGCAGCTGCCAGCTCTGTCCAAGCAGCAGGGCACTAACTCACCGAAAGCTCCTGCCTTTGCTGCTGCCTTCGCTGCTGCCGCTGCCGCTGCCGGCCCTCCAACTGCCAGGATAAGGGAGAGAGTCAGGGGTGCGGGACAGGGGGAGGCGACCTCCCTGAGCCCCAGGGCCGAGCCCCTCCATCGCCTCACCTCCGGCTCCTGGGACAACACCGACACCTGGTACCACTCCGCCAACGCCTGGGACGACGCCAGCCCCGGGCAGGACACCAGCTCCTGCCGCAGGGGAGAAGGGGATCGTCAGCTCAGTGATGCAGGGGCACAACCAGCATCCCCCTGGCCTTGGAGGGAGGGAGCAATTGCCCCACTGGGGACGTGGGTGATGGATGTGCCCATGGCGGGTGACTCACCATATTTTGCTGCTGCTTTCGCTGCTGCCGCCTGTGCTCCAACCCCTGGGGAAGGACATGGGCAGCCACTGAGATCCCAAGGCCATTCCCACCTCAGCTCCCCCATCCCGCAGGGACCCTGGGGACCAGCCCCTCCTGCCAGCATCTGCCCCCTTCTCCTTTGGGAGGTGATGCACCCCTCCAGGATGTCCTTGCGGTGACACTGCCACCCTGAGGCCACCAGACAGCCAGGCAGTGCCCAACATCCCATCTGAGAACCGGCAAGGTGACAGGGGTGCAGGTACCCCTGCCATGCCCGTGCCAGTCCCCCATCCTGGGGCTGCCTGGGAAGGGAGCGTACCTGTCCCGGTGGGGTACCCTGCCTTTCCTGCTCCGATGCCGGCTCCTATCCCGCCGGGCCCGAAGCCTGCAATTACAAACAGAAAGGCAAAACCATGTCAGGCACTGGGCCTAGGAAGGGGGAAGAGGCAGATGGAGCAGCTCCCTCGGCTCAAAGGATCTCCCCCCACTGGCATCGTGGGATGTGGGGGGGATCCCAAGAGCCAGCTGCCCCCCAGTTGAAGTGCCAGTTCAACCATCCCTGCCTGGAGCTGGCTGCGGCTCAGGATGTGTCCTAGCAGAGAGCCAGCCAACCGACCGCTACCGGTGCCGCGGCATGCTTGCGGATCAATGGCTCCCAGCCCCGCTGCGGGATGCCAGGAGAGCTGGGTTTCTCCCAGCCAAGTCAGCAGGTGTCACAGTAGGACAAGGCACAGGTCCCCCGAGGGAGCACCTCGCCCTGGGAGCAGGACGCCCCTCACACAGCCCCGAGGGTCGGTGGCCATGAGGCCACGGCAGCAGCAGCCGGTGGAGCTGTGAGGAGCTACGACCGCGGAGCGAGGGCTACGAGCACTCACCATAGGGCAGCTTACCAGTGCTGTAGGGCAATCCATAGCCACCTGGAGAGGAGAGAAGGTGGCGGGTTAGCACCTGGCTGCCGGTGGCTGTGCCCCTTCTGCCCCGCGGTGTAGCCCCTCTCTACCAGCTGGCTGCGTGGCACCAGCCCTCGGGGGTCCTTCCATCGGGATAGTAAATCCTCCAGCATACAACTCCCTGTGATGGAGCCAGCCCGGGAGATGCTCTTCTCCATCACCTTGGGAGCAGCAGCTCCAAAATGAGCCACTCAGCCCCATGTCGAAGGCTGTGGCGCCCAAAGCCAGTTTTGCAGGAGCCTCTCGTAACCCCACTTCAGTGGGGGGTCCCCCGGGAGCCCTGAGGCAAGAAATGTACCCAGCTGGCTGCGCCACGGCCGGCTCCAAATGAAAGATTTTAATTGGAATCAGGGCTTGGGAGCCTCCATGGAAACATGACCTCGTTAGAAGGGCGGCATGAAGGGATGGGGAGGGATTACGAGTGGGAACGTCGCAGCCAGGGAAATGTCTTCTTGCAAAAGAGCAGGATCCCACCGCTCTGGACGGCACAGGGATGCCTGTGACTCGGTGGGGACCGTGCACTTGGGAGCCAGCAGGACCGAGCTCCTATCACTGCTGGCAGCAGCCTGAGGAGGGGTGATGGGCTGCCACATCCTCGATGAGGACACCTTGAGCAGTATGTAGGATGAGGGTTTCTCACACACCAAGCCCTCCTGCCAGAGGGGGTTGCAGGCAGGGCGGGGACATGGCTGCCTGAAGCCAGGATGGGATTGCTCACAGCAAAGCACCTCCTTGAGCACAGGACACCATCCCCTCCCGCCTGCCAGCATGTGGGAACCAGATTTCCCTTCACGCTGCCAGGATGTCCTATCGTGTCCCAGGCCAGTGCTGTGTTGCTGGAAGGCAGAGGCTTTCCAGGCTGTGGTGGCCATGAGCTGTGCTGGGTGTCCCCCACCTTGGGGACCCCCACTGCCCATCCCAGGGCACATCATCAGCACCTTGCTCACCCCAAAGCTGTGGAAGGGTCTGGCACTGGGTGACACACGTGGAGGTGACTCCAAAGGTCAAGCACCCAAGCTTGCCCTTGGGTCTCTGAAGGTTCTGCTGGCTCCAAGCCCAAGTCCCCACCAACCCCAGCCAGATGTGAGAGCAGCCCCCACCCTGGGGCTTTGCACACCCATCCTGCACCAGCCTGGGGATGCCACAAGCACTGCCAGGGGAGCTCAGGGCTGGCAGGTGCTCTGGCTGGCAGGGAAAGGGCTTTGCACAGACCAAGGCCACCCCAGCACGGCCGGGAACTGGGGAGCAGTCCCCATCTCTACAGCATTGGGTAGGACCCTGATTTTAGTCACAGCTTCAGGTTGAGCCTTGAGCAAGTGGGGTGACCCCGGGGCCACCTCCTGAGCAGGGACAGCACAGAGCAGGAGCTGGCTAGGGCATTTGGAGCAAATCATCCAAAAAGGCGACTTTCTACTGAAAATATTATTTTCCCCACTATTCCATCATTCCCTCTTGACTCCGATCTACCACAGCTGGGACACAGTGCAGGGGACCCAGGGACATGTGGAAGCCCCAGGTCCACCCGCAGCATCAAAGCAAGAGGCTTGACAGCCAGCCCAGTGTGTCCCCATGCTGCCAGCACCAAGCCCTCAGAGGTGACAAACTGGCATCCCCCTGTGTCCCAGGAAGGACTGGGGTGCCAGGCAGGACCCAGCAGCTGATACCACATCTAGGGATACCACCACTGTGCTTCTGGTCCCCTCAAGAGACGGGGCCTCTCTGGCCAAGGGGATGGGTGTCCTGCCCTGATTTATTTAACGAAGGCTCCCCATAAAGTGGGTCAGCCGTCAGCAGCGTCCTGTCCGGGCTGTGGGCCACTGGCAGGGCTGCCGCAGGAAGGAGCCAGGCACGGCTGCGCCATGCGCCGGCTCTACACCGGGCACCCCATGAAAGGCGGCCTGGGGCTGGGCTGCGGCCGGGAGGCCAGACAGCATCCAATGGCAGCGGGGCCAAGTCACCCTAATGAGCGTAACTCTGCCTCCGCGGGAGGAAGCCGGAGCGGGCCAAGTATTTCTGCCGCCGTTTGCGGCGACGGGCTCTGGCGAGGGGAAGCTGGCAGAGCTGCCGGCGCTGGCACTCGTGCTGGGGTGGGACCTGCTGCCTGGGGGTGGGCTCCCCCCGCCAAGACTTTCCTGCCTGTAGCAACTTGTTTCAGTGAGTGGGAAAATGCCTGTGACTCTACTTGCTCCCCAGTACCCCAGGGATGGAGGTCCCTGCTTAGATCTGGCTGCCCTCCTACTCTGGGATGCTCTTGGGGCCAGTAAGCTGGCAGCGTGGCCCCTGGAGGACACGGGACCCAGTACTGGCTGCCTGGCACTGCCTATCCTGCCGCTGTCCCTGTGTGGGCACAGCCAGCTGTGGACAGACACAGCTGGCACTCAGCACAGGGCTGGAAGATAGAGGTCCCTGGAGCAGCCCGGCCTGGGAAAGGTGTGCTGAGCCCCAGCTTTCCTGGGCCGGGCTGAGCCTCATCTGGGAGGGCAATGGGGAGGGAGACCTGCCAGGAGCTCCATCCCCACTGCCTGCCTGCTGTTGGTGGCCTTGGCTAGAGCTCCTTGAGCCGGGACCTTTGGCCCAGGTGAATGCCCAGTGATGCCTGGCACAACCCCAGGAGCCACAGAAAGCAGACAGTCCCTGAAAGGGCTGTGTCTCATGCCAGGAGGAGCTGGCAGGGATGACCTGGAATGGCCTGGCCCAAAGCAAGTCCCCAGAACATGCTCTTTCCTACCTTACAACAGCTGGAGAGAGGCACAGCATCATCCTCATGGGCTGGGGACAAGACTAGCAGCAGCGTCCAGCCAGCTGCCCAGGGGGCTGCGATATGCAGGGCTGCTGCTGGATTCACCTGCCCAGCACCCCTTGCTCTGTCCTGATGTCCTAGAGCCAGCACTGGTGCTGCCAGGTCCAGGGGACCCGGGGCTACCGCGGCTCAGCCCTGGGGAGCGGCGGGTCCTTCTCCTGACACTGCTGGGGGTCCTTCACCCCCAGCCCCGTTGGCTGTGTCAGCTTACCTGGGAGCTTAGGAGCTTTGATGGGATACCCCAGAGGGACACCGGGCTGCTGACCTCCAAAACCTCCCAGTCCTGCAAAGCCAACAGCAGACTCTCACCTGGAGCCCGCGCCTAGGCTGCCACCAGTCCTTTCGGGAGGGGAGCGCCCCAGGCTACCCCGGGAGAGAAGAGCAGGTGGTTTTGAAAGCCCTGAGGCATCTTCTGGTGTGTGGAGGCCATGACTGTGATGAACAGGCTTGGGAAGGAAGAGAAGGATGGGCGAGAGAGACAGGACACTCACCAGGGATTCCTGCGAAGGCTCCTGCTCCTAGGCAGAAACACAAAGGCACCCGTGTGAACCTCAAGGCTGGTCCTCAGGGTCCAAACTAGTCTGTGTGGGCTGAGTCGGAGGTTGGCTTCACTTGCCCATGTGCCCTGTGAGGCTGCAGCCCCAAAGGATGGGCTGAAGCCAGCCCCGGACCCACCCTCCACTGTGGTGTCCCCAGGGGATGGAGGGGACCTACCTGGACCTTTAGGCTTGACTCCAGCACCAGTGGGTACCCCGGGCAGCACCCCTACACCAGGGAAGCGGACACCTGCGGCAGAGACCGGAGGGGCTGGGTGAGCACGGTGGGGCATTGTAGCATTGCTGGTACCCAGCTCCGAGCTCCCTGCCACCCATCTCTGGGTCAGCACTAGCCCTTGTACCCAGGGACAGGGTAACCTCATCCCCTGGGGGCTTTCTGGGCCCCTCCTGTTCCAACCTCCCTGCATCCCCTGGGCAGAGCTGCCAGGGAAGTGTCTGCTCCAGCTCTGAGGCTGCCTGTACTTTTTGGGGGGG